GTCCATCGAATCCCATTTTTGTCGTTCATTTGCTCTGTCGTTCATACAGCAAAACTGAAAGTCATCTTACCGAAAATAGTTGCAGAAACATACATTTACAATTATGTGCCACAGTCCGGCCTCCACCAGAGAAGTCGGAAAATACATGATGAGGTGGCCGAGTGGTTAAGGCGATAGACTGCTAATCCATTGTGCTCTGCACGCGTGGGTTCGAATCCCATCCTCGTCGTTTATATGTTCTGGCTTTCGAGAGATCATGGTGTTTCTGCAGAAGTTCTTTTACTCTCACTCTTTTAGCGTTTTAAAGGATGTTGTTGCAAAATTTTATGTCATCTTTATCGAAAATAGCTGCAAATACAAACATATGCCATAGTCCAGCCCCCATCATGAAAGTGAGTACATACATGACGAGGTGGAAGAGTCCATCGAATCCCATCCTTGTCGTTCAAATCCTCTGGCGTTTGAAAGAGGCCGGTGCTTCCGTGGAAAGTGTTTTACTCGCACGCTCTTATCGTTTTGAAGGATGTTGTTGCAAAATTTAACGTCATCTTTACCGAAAATAGCAGCAAATACATACAGAAATGCCATAGTACAGCCCCCAACAGGAAAGTGAGTACATACAAGACGGGGTGGCCGAGTCCATCGAATCCCATTTTTGTTGTTCATTTGATCATTCGTTCATACGGCAAAACTGAAAGTCATCTTACCGAAAATAGTTGCAGAAACATACATATACAATTATGTGCCACAGTCAGGCCTCCACCAGAGAAGAAGGAAAATACATGACGCGGTGGCCGTGTGGTTGAAGGCTGATTTATACTTCTGCGTAAAACGCCGGTGTATGCTACGGCGCTGACGCATAGCCCCTCACCGTGGCCGTCACTGACGTGCACCTCTCAAAAAATGTAACTACACGTCGCAACGACGCGTAGCGTAAGCTCTGTGATTGGTTGGCTTGGTAGCGCTGACGAGTCTGGGCGGGACCGAGAGCCGCGCGAATGGCGCGAGCGATTGTTTACAAGTGTGGAGTCCCATGAAGGAGCTCCGGGTGGAAAGTTTTGTTTTGTATTAACCTCATAGTTAAAGTTGTTGCACGTCCGCCGGTTCCTGCATCAAAATGAGCGAGTTTGAGCCACTTGTACATCCCGGAAGTGTTCAGGAAAAGCAAAAAAGCCGCAAAGAAACTCGACACAGAGGAAGATTTACACCTCACTGCCAACTAGTGTTTCAGAAGTGTTAATGCAGACCAACAGAGACAGCGCACAGAAGTATAAATGCACAGCCACGCGCGTTGCCTGCGCCGTGGGTTACGCTGGTCACTTGACGCAGAAGTATAAATCAGGCAAAACTGAATGTCATCTTACCAAAAATAGTTGCAGAAACATAAGTAACCCTAGTGAAATAGTAAAATTTTTATTTATAATATTATTTAGAGCAGAATAATCATATTATTATTATATCTACAAGTCTTTATAAATATGATAAACAAAATAAAATTCATGTATACAAATGTAGTTTGAGGTAAAGTAACAACCAATCATAGGAGCGGGTTGTTAGCTCCGCCCCTCCCAGCTTGCTGGGAGAGAGAGACAGAGCAGAGACGAGACCGGTTGGCAGAATAATAGAGGAGCAAATTTGAACAAAAAGATTAAAATACAGTATGTTATGATTCCTAAACAGTTTAAAAGTGATTTTAGTTGTACTAAATCAAGTTGTACCTGCAAAATAGTTGTTATTTAGTGTGTTAGTGTGTTTAAGAGTGTGTTAAAGTCAGACCGCATGTTGCATTGCGTTTACAGTGCGCTGACGCCATTTTGCAATCGCGTGTGTGTGAGAAGACCATAGAGTGATATAGAAATCGTGAATTTGACAGGTATTCCATTATATTAGTACTAGGGATGTAACGGTATCAGAATTTCACGGTACGGTAATACCTCGGTATGAATGTCACGGTACGGTATTTATTGAATCATTTACAGGAAAAAACAAAACTTATGAAAATACTCCAAAAAAGTGCCAAAAGTGTCAATGACATACAAATTAGCCATCTATCTGTAAGCTTTGAAACAGGAACTTCAATTTTAATAACAAAAAAAATATTAAACCATGTAAAAAATAAAGTTTCAATTTAGTATTGTTGAAAACTCATGACATTCAACATTTAATCACACTCAGCCCATCTAGCCAGATGAGAGCTCTGCTAGTCGGACTTCTCATCAAGCATCTCCCGCTGGATCTAATCTCACTATATTTATTAAACGGGATATTTCATTTATCTTGTTGTCTTTATCTAACGACATATTCCCTGACTTTGGTCATTGGAATCTATTACTTGTTCTCAGGTAACGTGTTTTGGCTGAGCGCAAAGATAAGTTAATGATTAATGTAACCACGTACATTCTGTATATTGACTGATTGCTTGCCTTTATTTCCTATAATGTATAAACTTATTGTATGTTATACTTTTAAAATGGCCATTATCGATTCTTAAAACAAAAAAGCAAAAGAGAGGGTGTGTTTCGTATTTTCACTGAAATTGAAAGGAGGCAGTTGTTATCGGCTCCGTTTTGTTATAAATATCCACACAGTGAAGATGACGCTCATATATGCAGCAAGACGCCTCAACATGTCTGCTGTCTAAGTTGCTATATTAAAATGAAAATAGGCAGTTCCTTAAATCATGTTTACATTTTATTGTTGACAAAGTGAAACAACGAAGACAGGGTGATGTGAATGAAGTTATAAAGTACACTGTTCCCTTTGAAGATTTACCGTGTCCTCGGTATAGTCTGCTTTTCCATATCAAACTGAGAAGAAGAGACTGCAGCCATGATCAAAATTGCGAAGTCTGAACTTACACGGAGATAATGCAGGACTGAACTGTGTGTGTTAGGCTACTTAATATTCAGGAAAAGCCCCAATCAGAGAGGCGAACGTCTGCAGCCCCGCTTCCGTTTTCAGATGTCTCCGTTTTCCATCATCCACACTGAGACGGAAAAGCAGCGTTTCAGAATGAAAACGGCTTCTCCAGCGTTTTCGAAACGCTCCGTTTTCGGCGCTCGAGAACTCCGGCGTAGTGTGGACGGTTGGCGTAACCGTAGCAAAACTTATGCGTTTTCAAACTAAAACGCATTAGTGTAAACGGGGCCTTAGAGTTTTCCAGCTCTTTTCATCCCCGCTTCTAGCAGCACACTCCATTTCCGCATTACTGGATCTGTAGCGACAACAGACCGCAAGGGATGATGGTCAAGCATGGGCTGATGGCAATTGTAGTTTTCGCTACCTCCCGTTCACTTCATTCGCCTGAGCAAATTTTCTCAGAAGACCTATAGTTTTACCGAGTCATGCGACTTAGGTAATATCGAAAAAAATTAATATTGCGGTATGACGGTATTTACAATACCGTTACATCCCTAATTAGTACACATATTTCAATTTATCCTCATTTCACCGGATAAAGTAAGAATTTGCCAAAAAGTTAATTCCTTTATTGGACTGCGATTTATTAATACAGCTCTAAGGACTGATTTTCACCCTGGAAATGCCCGATCTCATCTGAACTCGGAAGTAAAGCGGGGTCGGGCCTGGTTAGTACTTGGATGGGAGACTGCCTGGGAATACCAGGTGCTGTAAGCTTTTCGAAGTCCTTCATTTGGCAGCTGATAGACTTCCCCGTGTCACAGCTTCGCTGCCATTATTTTTTCTCGCCTTCAAGGGCATTGTTTCTCTGTCGGTGCTGTGTCGATGCCAGCTGAGCTGCGCTCGTTCCCTGGTGCTGCGCCTGTTTTAAATAGCCAACTCTTGACGGCCTATTTCGCTTACGGCCATACCACCCTGGCAACGCCCCCTTGAGTTTGACTGAGTCATTGCTTTCAAGGAAGTGTGAGGTGGCAGTAGGGAGAGAAAGGCTCTCCCATTTTGATTTGCTTTATTGTTTTTTTCTTGATTTTGCTTAAATTAAATTGTATTAATTTTGTTTAGTTTTAGTTAAACCCCAGACAGTGTTATCTGTTTGGGGTTAAAACGTTTTGAAAGGATGGACACTTTGGTAAAGAAACTGGAACTGAAAATGGACTATGGCAGCATGGACAAAGCTACTCCTGAAAACAACAATTCAAGAGATTCAAACAACGGCATCGACGATAATGACACATTGGCAACTGTTGTGGCAAGAAGGAGGAAAACTAAATCAGACACAAGTAGAGAAGGAAGTGGAGAAATGCAACAAACTAAAGGTAAAGCAAATGCTGAACACTTGGAAAACAGCCAACAAACAAGTCATAGAAATGAGATGATAAACAAACTGAAAAGTCAAGCTAGATTTCAGCGACAATATAAAAAAGAAACAACTTTGACAATGACTGTGAAAGATCCTGAAAATATCACTGTAACGATCATTATAAAGGCTGTGGAAGATAAGACTGGAATTGGAAAATTGTTTGGACTGAGGAAAAAATGCAATTTTGACTATGAACTAACTATGGAAAATGAAACGAACTGTGATCACTTAATGAATGGACTAATGATTAACCAACAATTCTGTCAAATATCAAAACTTTGTGCAACTGAGAGAATGGTTTCTTTCTTAAATTTGCCAAACTATATTCAAGATAGTGAAATCATCCAAAAGCTTGTGGACTGGGGAGTTTTTCCAATTCTCCCACTGAGAAGAAGATATTATCCAGGAACAACTGTGGCTGATGGAACAAGGTTCATCAGGGTGAAATTTCCAAAAGAAGTCATGACTCTTCCTTACAATGTCAAGTTTGACACAGAGGAAGGACCAAAATATTTTAGAGTCATACATGATCAGCAGATAAAAACATGCAGATTATGTGGAAGTGCTGAACATGAAAAAAAAAGACTGCCCACAATTTGTGTGTAGAGAATGTCTGGAGCAGGGGCATTTTGCGCGGGACTGTAAAGCCCCACGGTGCCAAGGCTGCAAAAAGACAATATTGTGGTGCAGATGTGAATCGGATGAGGAAGAGACTGGAGTTATGGAAACGAACAAACAAATGGAGAAATCAAGCAATGAAGAACGGGAAGAGGAAGTACAGGAATTACCACCGGATGATTTGAATGAACAAGAAGAGGAGCAGGCCATGAGTGAAGAGGATGAAGGAGATACAGCAGAGACTGAGGCACAACATCAAATGAAAGACGATGGACACGACATGGAAGAAGAACATGGAGCAGCAGGTGAAAATACAGAAAGCAGAATTGAGGAAGAGGTAAGCGATGATGATGATAATGAAGAAATAAATATTGGGACTAAAGACAGAACAATAGACAGCATAAACAGAAGACGCAGAAAAACTGTACAATTGAATATTCAGCAAGTGCTTAAGAAACAAAAATTACGAAAGGAAGCAAAAGTAAAAACTGACAGAACTGATCTAAGATTTTAGATCATAAAAAAGACTACAAATGATTGATAGATTGTTTCATTTGGATTTTCTTGTGTTTGGATGGCTTGTTTTCTTTTATATTTCTAATGAACAACTTATGTTTGGTTTCAATTAATGTAAGAGGGCTGTCATCCTAAGTGAAGTTTGAAAATGTAATTGCTTTAACAAAAAAATGTGATGTTATATGTATACAAGAGACTGGATGGAATGAAAACATTGTTAAAGATTTAAAAAAATGTTGGGATGGGGAAATATTGTATAATAATGACCCAAATAAGAAAAAAGGCATGGCAATACTAATTAGAAGGGGAATAGGATATACATTTGATGTTTTATTTAAAGATAATTATGGAAGGATTTTAACTATTAAAATTATGAATAAGGATGAAGAAATAACAATATGTAATATACATGCTCCAAATTAAGACTTGGAAAGAGTTACTTTTTTTAAAGATCTAAGTGTTTTAATGAGTGGATGGAATAATGTTATTGTTTTAGGAGATTTTAATACTGTTTTAGAAAGAATAGATGTAGATGATCATATGGTGTATAGAGCAGATGTTGGAAGAAGAGAAATGAAACACATGATTGAAAAACATAAACATGTAGATGTATGGAGAGAGAGAAATAGAGCCAAAAGAGAATACTCAAGAAGACAGTGGGTGAATACAGTTTTAAAACAAAGCAGATTAGACTATGTTTTATGTACAAGAAAATTAGAATCTTTTATTTCAAATATTTTTTACAAGATTTTTAGCTGTAGTGACCATGATTTTCTGTATGTAATGATGGATTTCAGTGGAGTTGAAAGAGGACCAGGTGCATGGGTGTTTAATACAGAGCTTTTAAAGAATGATTTTTATAAAATTGAAATGGAAAACATGATTATTAATAGTGTGAATGATGAGTTATATGAGGAAGAAATAAGTGTGTGGTGGGACAATGTAAAATTAGAGGCCAAAAGATTTTCAATAGAATGTTCAAAGAAAATGCAGAAAGCCAAAAGAGCTAAAGAAAGACAATTAAACAAAGAATGGGAGAATGAAATGGAAAAGATAACAGAAGGAAATATGGATATTAGGAGAATAGTGATATTAGAAGAGAAACTGAAAATATTAGAAGAGGAAAAATGTATGGGAGCTAGAATAAGAAGTAAGATAAAAATACAGTGGAAGGAGAAAGAAGTACAAAGTTCTTTTATGATCTAGAAAAAACACGACAAAAAGCAGATTTGATAAAGAATCTCTCAACAAAAGAGAAAACTGTCAAAGATAAAGAAAGTATTTTAAGAACAGTTAAAGATTTCTATGGAACTTTGTTTAAAGCAAAAGGAGTTCATGAAGAAGATAAGGATTTTTTATTAAATCAAATAAAGGTTAAAGTAAGTGAAGAGGATAAAAAACTGTGTGATAGTGATATAACTGAAGATGAGATAAACGAAGCTATAATACAATTAAGTAATGGGAAAAGCCCTGGTTTAGATGGTTTGTCGCCGAATTTTATAAGACTTTTAAAGATGTTTTAATTCCAATTTTAAAAGATCTTTTTATTGCTATTTTTAAAAAAGGACAGTTGAGTGAGAGTATGAAGAAAGGAATGATTAAAATAATTTATAAAAATAAAGGTGATAAAGATGACTTGCAAAATTATAGACCTTTAAGTATGCTTAATACAGATTATAAAATATTAGCAAAGATTTTAGCAAACAGGCTTAAAAAGGTAGTTCCCACTCTTATTACTACTAACCAGGCTTATGGTGTTATAGGTAGAGATATAGCAGACACAGTAACAAGCATCAGAGATTTAATCTGGTACATAAAAGAAAAAAAAGATGAAGGATTTTTATTCAGCATAGATCTAGAAAAGGCTTTTGATAGAGTTGAGCATAGCTATTTATTTGACATAATACAGAAATTTGGCTTTGGTGAGAATTTTATTAAGTGGATAAAATGTTTTTATACAGATATTTTTAGTTGTTTTAAAATAAATGGATTTTTAACCGACTACATTGAGATTTCTAGATCTATAAGACAAGGATGTCCTTTATCAGCATTATTATACACATTAGTTGCTGAACCTTTAGGCTTAGCTATAAATGGAGAAAAGGAAATTAAAGGGTTTAAAATAGAAATCAATAGAACAGAACAGAAAATTTTCCAGTATGCTGATGATACCACTCTATTTTTAAAAGATTTTAAAAGTGTTGGAATAGCTATGGAAATATTTGATAAATATTGTCCAGGATCGGGAGCAAAAGAAAATAAAGAAAAAACTGAATATATGAAGATGGGTAAAGTAGACGTTCCACAAGGAAATTGGGAATATAAAGAACAAAAAAATTACATAAAGATCTTAGGCATTACACTGGGATATGATGAAATTAAAACTAGAGAAATAATTTGGGATGAACTTATAAATAAAATGGAAAAAAGATTATGTTTTTGGAAACAGAGAGTATTGTTTTTAAAAGGAAAAGTACTGGTATTAAATTCTCTTTTTCTATCTAAGATGTGGTATGTTTTAAGTGTTGTTAGTCTACCTACGTGGGTGTATAAGAAAATAAAAACTATGATTTTAAAGTTTTTATGGGATGATAAACCATCTAAAATATAACACAATCATTGGAAAGGTGGATGAGGGAGGACTAGGACTTATAGATCCATGGATAAGAATAAAAAGCATGAGAATTAAAACATTAAAAAAGTTTTTAAATGAAGACAATATTCCATGGAAAAGCATAATGAGTTATTTTATTAATAAATGTGGACAAATAGGAGATGATTTCTTATGGATGGCATTTAAAGACCGCATGATAGAAAATATTCCTGAGTTTTATAAAGAGTTGTTGAGAACATGGAAATGCTTTTATAATAATATACAAACTGAGATTGAAGGGAGAAAACTTTATTTACAGCAACCCTTATTTTTAAATCAGAACAATAAAAGCAAAAAGCAAATGTTTTATGAGAACTGGTATGCAGTGGGTTTTAGACAAATAAAAGACATTTTATATGAAATAAAACCTGGGTTTTTACCGACTCAAGCAATAATAGATACACTGGAGGAAATAGAAGATGTAGATGATAAAGAAAAAATTGAAGATCAATACAAGAAGTTAAGATTAGCATTACCAGATCACTGGATCAAAACTATTGAAGAGAATGAAAAAGAAACTGAAAATAGAAAAATAAAAGTTTTTTTTAAATGGATGAAGATAAAATTAGTATCAATGATTGTCCTATCAAGATGTTTTATACATGTTTGTGTAACACTGTGTTTAAAAAACCTAAATCAAGAGAATTTTGGGAAAAGTTATTTGAAAACTTTGATACTTCAAATATATGGAAAAATGTAAGATCAATTTTAAAAAGTCCAGCATTGGAAAACTTAGATTTTATGTTAAGACACAACTGCATAATGACAGAGATCATCTTTAAAAATACTGGGGTATCACAAGATGATTTGTGTAAAGTGTGTTTGGAAAAAAAGGAAGGTGTGTTACACCTATTTTTAAATTGTAAAAAGTTGAGTGATTTTATGAAGATGTTGAAAACAATGGTATGTAATTTTCTGTATGATGAAAACATTATTTTAGAAGAATGGGATACACTGTTTTTATTTGGTTTTAATGGGAAAACAAAAAATAAGTTTGCTCTTAATTATATGTTGACTCTTGCAAGATTTACAATATGGAAAAGAAGAAATATTATGAAACAAAAGAAAAAAAGAAATTCCTTTGGTTTTGTTGTACAAACAGATTGTGACTGAGGAAATAATGGTTATATATGACTATTGCAAAATGTATGAAAAGATGGACATTTTTGAAAAATGTATTACAAAAAATAATCCATATATATTGTACAAACTTGGACTGGTTTTGAAGTTTTCTTACCTGGAGATTTTTAAATATTTTATCTTTTAAATATTTGTATGTATAAATGTCATGATTGTTGATGATGTATTTTTTAATAAAGAAAAAAAAAAAAAAAAAAGCTTGAATCTGCTCAGGAGCAAGTGTCTTTCCCACGATTAGATTGCAGCATCTTAAAGACTGCACTGGAAGTCTCTCTCTGCCATTGCTCGTTTTAGCAAGAGCACCCTATTGAAACAGGAACAGTAAAGATTCACAATTAGAGTAGTAACACTCTATAACTGGATTTGAATATAATAACAACAACAACATGGGGTCTGCTGTGATGGAATCAGTAACTTTCACTCTTTTGTGAAACAACAGTTACCTTGTAATCAGGTGCTTAAATGCATCGCAGCTGGCTGCCGTAAGGAGAAGACTTCAAATGCCTTCAGGTGTGCTCAAATAGAGACAGAACTGTGGTTGACAGGAAGGTGGGAGTGCTTCCTAAGCTGGTATTAAGGAGGTCTCTTTCTTTGTGGAGGAGCTCCAGCTAGGCATGGCTAAATTGAACTGATTTCCCAGAGCTGTTGCGCTACTTGAAACAAGTTGGTGTCAAAACTGCTCAGGGAAAGCAGCTTTGAAAGGTAGCGTGGCTGAGCGGTCTAAGGTGCTGGATTAAGGCTCCAGTCTCTTCGGGGGCGTGGGTTCGAATTCCACCGCTGCCAGGCAGTCCTTTTAGGATGCTTGAGAATGACCTCTCTGCTTGAGCAAACAGACTTGCGAAGAGATGCTGCATGCTTCCGCTCACATCCAAATGTAGACTCCTTGGCCAAAGTTTAAGGGCTTCCCTAGGAAGCTCTGCGTCCTCTCTGCTCTTCTGCTTTCGTAAAATTCGGCAAAAAACGGACCACTGCATGAATTCATCCAGGGTAGCGTGG